ATAATATAATATAAATTTCGCATTCAAATAATAAGATTTAATAAATGATGTTTATTTTTATATATTATATATTATTATATATTATTATTAATACTTGCCTTACACTTAGGACATACAAAAATATTCATATTTTCAATAACACCTAATATCGGTATATTTGCTTTTTTACAAAAATCAATTTCTTTCCTCACATCTAATAAAGCAACCTGTTGTGGAGTTGTTACTATTATTGCTCCTGTAATCCCAACATTTTTAAGATATAAAGTTGCCGATAAATGCTCATCCGATGTACCAGGAGGAGTATCCAAAATAAGATAATCTAATGTCCCCCAATCTACTTCTGATAAAAATTGTCTAATCATTCCTATAATAATAAATAAATATATAAATATATAAATTATATACAATAAATTGTTATATATAAACAAAATTGTTTTATTATTAAATACCATTTTTTTTGGGTCCTCTCCATATCACCGCATCACTTGGATTCGCAAGTAAAAATCCAATAGACATTAATGATAAGTTGTCTTCTATGTACTAAAAGAAATAATAAAAATCATTTATAATATATATCAGTTAAATATAATAATAAAAACTCATTTAAATCAATTTATATTTATACAAGCTCACCACTGGAGACCATCCTGATCCACTTTGATGAACTTGTTCTCCTATTACACCTAACACTCTTGGTTGCGATGGTCCACAAATATCAATATCTAATATCGCAACCTATGAAATTTATTTATATCTTTTCATTTTAATTCATTTTTCAGTTTAATTAATAAATTATAAAATCAAATTCTACAAAATATTATTATATAAATTATAATATCAAATATTACAAAATATTTTTTTTATTTATAATTATTTATAATTAAAAATGTATCAAAAGATTAATATAATCAATAATATAATCAGAAAGTGATACAATATAATAAAAATAAATAGAATTACAAGTAAATATAATAGATATACTCTTTAAACTATATATACATATACATAT